GATAGTTCTGGCTTTTATGCAGTACAATTAACTTTATTGGTGTTCACAGGCCCATTGCAAGCTGATCAACAGGTAACAATTACCGGCACACAAATTGGGCCGATAGTAATGGGGTATGGTGGTTAGCATCAGATAAGTTTCGAGTTATCCTTCCTGTGTTACTAAACAACTCATAAGTCTGATCTGATGCTTAACCATCCAGCTCCTTCAGAGTATTGATATTGAGTCTGTATGCTGAAACACTGTTTCAGTGCTACAACTTGAACTTGAAATAATACAAATAACAACTGTCCCATCAGCCATGCTCGTGAGTTCTTCCCTGCCCATATTTCAAAACTACCAGTTCAACTTCCTCTTGCAAGCAAGGTATCTTCTGACACAGTCGGAGCTCCCTAGTACTTCTTCGTGTTGATTAACCAATCGGCTCCGGATCATCCACAACTGGTGCAAAAAAATGCAGAGGCCATTAAAACTTGCCAGTGGAAGTTGAGTGGAAGGATGAAAACCTCACCAATAATTAATTTGAGCCTCACTGCAGGCAAGGTACATTGGAACCACTGATTTGAATTGGACTTTTTGATGATTTTATGTTTAATGACTTCAATATACTATCAGCTGATATTATTGTGATTGTATCGCTATTTAACAATATTATCACTGATATCATTGTGATAGCCGATAAAATCAAGGCAAAATCAGACTAAAATCATTGATAGTTTAATGAAGACATTAAATATAAAATCACCAAAAACTCCAATTCAAATTGGTGGTTCCAATGTACCTTGCCCGCAGTGCCTGCTCATATTGCAAGTTCAACTTTGCAATGCAATCTTACAACAGTTACGTTTGGGGAAGGTCACTTCATCCATCCTTTTGACTTTCTGTCCTCAGACATGATGTCTTGCTATCTTGGCACCATGCCATCGATCACAAGTGGCCAGTCTATTAAGCTGAAAGCAAGAACCCTTCCACTACCCGGCATTTCTCCTGAATTCAACAACCGAGGACAATTTCCAACACTCCCACCCTCTGATTATTATGAGAAGAAATTTAGTACTGATTTTGAGTCTGACATGAGAAACGGCTGAGTCACTCATGTTAATTATTCCAAGGCCATTAAGATCTTTTCATCTCTGTTTTTCCCCCTCCGGTGTGGTAAAATGTCCTACAAGCAGATTACAATGGTCAGATTTGATTCAAATCTGCGCCTTTAATGGCTTGAAAAGTGCTTTCACACTTTCATTGTGCCAAAGTGAACCACCTGGTTAGTGGGCTCTGCCGCAAAGCGCGCTACAATTGTTATGAAACTGAGCAGCGTGACGTTGCCATATTTAGATTGCACGTGCAACCGGCCCGAAGCCCGCAGGCGACGAGCGACAAGAGGTGCTCGTGATCTGGATCGTGGCCAACGTTCCCACGACCCCCCCCCCCCCCCCCCCAGAATAAGGAAATTGTTTGGCGAGGACAAACATCGGCCCAAATGCCGACAACCACAAACCACTCAATACACCGCAGGCGGGAACATGGGTTGGATATAAACATGATTCTTCATGATCTTGGACTAATGGTACATTTTTGACAGTCGTTGCATCAGGAAACAACAATTTGTTGGGTAGCTCCCTGCCAGAGCTCTCGTCAGTTGGTAGCTCTGGTAGCCCTCCCCCAAAGACCAGTTGCCACTGGTAGCTCCGGTAGCCATCCGGTTGGTGTTCCGTAGCGCGTGGTAGCGCATCACTCACGGATCAGTAGCGCTCTATATCCGGCTTCCTAGAAATGATGTATTCGAGCGACGGTCTCTGTGTATACCATTGTCGATGGCATCCCCGCATATTTTGGTGACTTTTTGGCCAATTTTATCAATAGAATTCACTACTTCCTCTGTGCACTAGTGCGATGACAAAAACTCACAAGTCATTTGAAACTCCGATGGCACGTGCACATTGCGTGATTGTTGGAGCACCAAACACCGTTTGTTGATGTCGCTCTTCTTCCTTCCCTCCATCTTCACTTTCCCTCTTCCACCCCATCGCCGGTGTGCTTATAATCTCCTTGTCCATCTGTATGCCCTGGCACCTGCCGTTGTTCAACCTTCATTCCCGGAGCTTCTCGGTGTGCCATGTCACGCTCCAAGTCGGTGTTCTCTTGCCGGGTGCTCCTCTATCCCTCAAAGTGCTCAAGCTCGCGATTGTCAAGCCGGGTATCCTTCAAGCTCGTCAAGCTATCATGTCAAATTCTCTAGCTTTGGGTTCTCCTCAAGAATCATTGTCGTCACTAGTACTCCTACTCCTACTCAACGCACACCGACACTGACCCCGGCGCAGACGCCAACGCCTCCTCGTCGCCATACTCGACGCCGTAAGCATCCGGCCCGTCCATGTCGTCCGTTCCCGAGCACGTGTTTGAGCCGACCCTGCACTTTCGAAGGCGATTGTGGATAAGACTCTGGGCTGTGGAGCATTGTTTGTGGAGGGACGGGTGGGATCGGTGGTGGCATGAGGAGGTCGCGAAGGTGGGTCTCCCTCTCCCTACATTTTCGTTTTGAGACTGACGAGACGCAGGTACCGAGCTACTGCCCGCCGACGATCATGAGCTCCGAGGACCCGCTCTTCATTCTTTGTGCGTCCCCTTCCCTCCCCCCTCCGTCTTCTTTGTTCCGCGTGCGTATAGACGAGTGGCTCGACGGGCAAGCCCAAGGGCATGATGCACACGACGGGCGGGGACCTCTGCGCGCCGCTCACGCTCAAGTACGTGTTCGACGTGCACGAGGGTGACCGCCTTGCGTGCAGGCGTTGGGTGGATTACGGGCATACGTGCATTTTCTTTTGTCTGAGTACTCTTCCCCGTTTTGCACCATGTCTCCCTTATGTCTTGTCCACCATCTCCCCGTGTAACTGTAGCATGCAATATATTTGTTTATGAACCATCCAATATGTCGACTATGAGCAGATATGGAGAGCTACTGACTGCTCCTGGTCAAACATGCCACAGCTATTGGAAGCTACTGGGCGCTACTGAGTTCTTGTGCCAATGCTACCAGGCACTACCAGGCGCTGGCGTGGAGCTACCAGCTGCTACCAGACGCTGGCGTGGAGTTACCGGGAGCTTCATATCAGGGGACTAGGCTACCAGGCTACCACGACTACTGGGGCTACCAGGCGCTACCTAACCAAGTCTTTTTTTCCTGATGTGGGAATATTTTGGTCGACTTTCGGACATTGCCGGACTCGCTCGCGTGGCAAGATCAAAGGTCGTGATCCAGAAATCAATCACCTCTTGACGATCGAGGCAAGTCGTGTTGCCACACCGGACACTATTTGATCGAGATTGAACCATATGTTTGCGTTTTGCGTTGTTACACTGTGCTCAAGTCCACCATTTGACTCAGTCTTTATTGTACCTGGGTGACCGACACCCATCTTTCTCCTTTGCCTGGAATGCAATAAGGCACGTGAATTCAAGCTAATCAAGAGCCTATCCCTTGTTCGAGATGCAACATATTTTGCCTCCGAGCCACGGTATCATTAGATCTTATCAGGTCAAACTCTCAGCGAAAGGTCAACCGTTTCACAATCATGTCCCAAGTGTTCGCCGGTCCAATTTATTGACCTCACATGCAGACTTTGATTCAAGCCACAATACTGTATCATTACCTTCAATTCGACAGTCACGTATCAAAAGGGGGTTGTCGATGACGAACTGACAAACTTTGGTCGTTGGTCACGGATCACACGGGGGGTTGTCGAAAGGACCGGTGATTATCTCATGACACAAATTTTGAGATTTCAACCACTCAGGTCACCGCCAAAGTCCAGACAAATAGGCTAACGACCGAGAAGGTCTGAGTCGGAGTCTGAACAAAAAAAAATCTGTACATAGAGGACGGAAGTCAAGAGAAAATTTTAGCTGTTTTGGACCTCCTCCAGCACTTTTTTGAGGAAAAATCATTGACGTCTGAGGCATAGTCTGGACAAAAAGAAAATTGGACCTATCTGAGCACCAGAATCCAGACAAAATTTTGGACCCCGCAGGCAAAAGTCCGGACAAAATTTGCTGAGCGGCCAAAATCAGGAACCAACCTCCCATGGGATAATCACCGATCCTTTGTCGAATTGGTCCCACGGTTCACAAAATCCTAAAAATATGTTTCAGTCACAGAAAAGCCACAAATAAATCCCATGTGCATCCCTTGCCTCACAGCTTTCTAGCTGTAGTGTATTCGTTGTATTTATAGCTCCAAGTTAGCCCAAACTTAATAGAATCTCATAAAATTGTTGGGTGAACCAGGGAATTAATTTAAACCAACATCTGCCTGGCTCTCCCTGCTTGCAAAAAAAAAATCCCAGATGACTGTAAGTATGATGACATGCCAACTGTCCATCTGAGCACGAGCAAACCCTAAATATAGGTAAGCGGCACAAGGAGGGAGGGAGGTACTGTGTGTGCGAGTGGGATCAAAGCAAAGCTCGGGACTTGGGCCGAGTGTGGGTGAGGGTGAGCAGGAATGAGAATGAGAGCGAGAGCGAGTCCATGGCAGCGATGAAGGCCGGGAGCGAGAGCGACGAGGGACGAAGCGAAGTGAGAGCGTAAACGTGGGGGAACAAATCATGTTGGATGGGGTGCAGAAGTACAAGATATATACCTAGTACAATAGGGGTAAATGCAATGTACCAATGTATCGCTAAGTTAAGGGGCAAGGAACAGGAACAACAGGGGTGCGGTGTGAAGGTGGAAGCGAACCGGGATGATCGGGCCTCGGGGATCTCGGGGATGCTATTCGGATGCAGTGGGACGCGAGGCGCATCAATGATATCCCTGGATCATTTTGGGATGGTGTCAATTTTTTTCGGTGTCACAGTCCAACCTGGATCATGTTGAAGTGTCAAATATGTTCCAGATGTCACGCGCGTTGAGTTGAATGTAATAATACAGTATTGCAAATCATGATTTGTCTTCAAGAGGAAAAGTTGGAGTCAGGAACAAATGTTTTTCAACATATGCATGGGTATGTGGTGTAGTGGTATCACTCATGCTTTGCAGAAATGATTGATCCCTGAAATAAACCATCAACTTCTTTGTATGCGGTCCAGGGCTCAAACCCGCGTGCATATGGGGATAATACTGTAACATTATTATTGCCAAAATCACAGAATTTGCACAGGTCTTTTCAAAATTTACACCGGTGTTGTCCCCAAAAAATACACACCCATATTCGGACTTTTTTTGCCCTGATACATTCACTGGTTGTCTTATCAGACAAAATTACACCACTCTGAAGAAACTCACTACCAAATAAGACATGTTGATTTTTCACATCCTGTTTCAAAAAAAAGTCATACCTGGTTCAAACATAAAAAAAAAAAGCCAGGAATCACTTATGTTCACAGGTGATTGAACTTAGCAATAAACCGGCCCCTGGACTATTATAGTTCTAGGTTCCATTCATTCAAAAAGAGTGCAGATCAACTGGAACCACCATGAGCCGAGATCTGACACTGCAAAGCAATGATCCTGACTCGCGAGGCTGGAGTAGTCAATAACTGCTCATTTCCAGAGCTGAAAACCACACCTCAGAGAGAAAAATCAGGCATGTATTCTGACTGCACAATACTCCAGCGGCTGTGGCAAGGTTTTGAAGGCTGTTATCTCACATGTTAAATTTCAACCTTCAGTTCGCTGGCAGTCCTGTAGAATCAGTTGCTTGATAATATGGTAAGCTGTATAGCAGTAGTTGTGTGGTGACGGTGATAAGCCTCGCAAATAACCACTAGTGGAACACATTATTTTTGCGCCTTTCGGTTGTGTTTGCAATGTATATTATCTTATATCCAGAACTAGTACCGAGACTCAGAGGTAGCTGGTTGGGCCAAGATCACAGAGTAATGGGCCATTGAGGGGGTAATACACCGAGGTGACTGGCTGCACTCACCCTGAAACGTGTAAGGGTTTGTGTAGTCCGCAAAACATCATGAGTAACTTCATATTCAATTGGGTTATGTTGGGTATAAGCCCAAGTAACAAATTGGGTTGAATTGCAATACCATTGTGACGCATTAGGGTTGTAGAGATGTGGACATCAGATCAGATGATGACCTAGAACACCGGCTGGACCTTATTTCGGACTATACCCGACTATACCCAACGGGCTCAACTATATCTGTAGTTGCCGGCCTGATCAGAGATTCCCAGAGGGTCAGACTAGACTTCCGTGAGGGGTGTTGTTTGAAATCTGTGACTCTATACTACATGGTATAGGGATGCTAACTGGAGGGGAACAAATGGGGAGTGCAGGGTATAGGAATCAATCCTGTATCAGTTGACAGTTTTGGTGGATTGGAAATAAGCCCAGTGCTGACTGAGCTTGTGGCCTATCAGCTGATTGCTGACTGAGGCTATGGCTTGGCAGATGATTATATTATGGCATGCTCAAAGCTTGCAGCCAATGGTACCAACTGGTGATAGCTATCGACATATACAGCTGTTTGACTCATATTTTCTTATATCTTGCTTGTACTGATTTATTCTGGGATTTGTATATAAGTAGTAGGTCATCACTACCACTGGAAAATGAAAGCGGTGAATTTCACTGTACAACTCTGTGAACTTCGCTTGTCACCTGAGAGTGAAAGCAAATATTCACATATATAGTGAAAACACAGTGAATCTGTCCCCCTAGATGAGGCAAGTAGGTGAAAAATCTGTTTCACCCCAAAAGAGAGTGAAACACTTTTTTCACATAGTCCTTCCTGGTGCTTGGAGCAAGGTACATAACTCTGGTCACCAGTACTGGAGATTTTATTACTACATATATATATGTATGTCCAAATAAGTCTTGAGTTGATACTAAGTTAGTGGCTGTAATACTAAGGTGTAGTCAGTGTCTGTGATGTAATAGTCCCTCAGGTCGAGGACATCTGGCTTCCTTTAGTCTAGATTTGATTGATGTGTACATACCGTGGGTCGCCATTCCGGATTGGGATGAGCAACGTGACTTGCAAACAACACCACACTTGACGCGACGCGTTCACCGTATACACGCGCCAATGGCCACTCTATGGCTGTTTCTTGCTGTTTTCTTCTTCTGCCGTGCATGTCAGCCGAATCCGGGAAATAAGCGTGCAGAACACCGTCCGGCGATGTCATCCAGCAGGTTAGAATATTGGAGGGGGTATAATTCGCTGTGCCTTCAAGAAACGATTTAACCATCTGCACGTGTGTTTGGAACGTGAGCTATCGCGGCCTTGATATAGACCCTGCAGATGTCGAAGACCATTGGAGGTCATTTTCGTACCCCTCCATTGGAAGGACACATCAGAAAAGCGCGTCGGGCAGGGGATGTCGACGCGACTGAGAAGTGATGGCACACGTGGGGATTTGTCAGGTCGTCTCAATGCGGAAGGTCCTGCCTAATTGGGAATCCCGGGTTGCGAAGGTCGACCTACGGTATTTGATGCGCGAACAAAATCAGACTGTTAGGGTTTAGCGTTTTATGAGCGTAAGTCAGTAGTAGATACTGAAGTCGTGAGTGATGTTTTTGTAGTTTAGCAAGTTAGTCGTAAGTCGTAAGAGCGTATCTGAGTAGAGCAGATAGCAAGATTCGTAAATTCTCAATGCGAGTGAACTCAAACTTAAATCAGTCAAACAGAATCACACTACACGGGTGACCTTGTAACTCAGTGGGCAACGGCTTAACAAGAGTATACAAGGCACTAAGTTCCTATAGGCAGCAAGGCTAGGTCTTAGTTTGAATCAGCTATAGGCTATATGAGCTAGCTTCTTCGAAAGTTGGGTGCAGAAGTGCTACGTGATGGATTGAAGTAAAGATGTGGTGCTGTCACATGAGGACAGGCTCTCATATATATAGGTAAGGATTGTGGATGCTAGAAGGTTCTTCATAGCAGGAGAACATTCTTGTGAGGTACTAGAATGTTCTATAACACAGAAATAATGAATGTGCTACAGGGTTGCACAAATGTTCTAGAATGTTCCGGGGAGTCCAAGATTATTCTCAAAACATCTCACAGGTGCTGTATGAGTAAAGAAACATCTACATAGATTGGCCATGCACTTAACCATAAGGGTTTAGCACTTAAAGAATGTGAAAACATGTGGGAAACATGTTTTTATAGTGAGCACGAGTTCAAATCAAGCTCTGATGGCTCCGATCAAATATTGATGGATGTAAACATACTGAATAGCAAGTCATTCTGAGGTTGAATGACTGGTTCAACAATTCGATCTTAAGCTCAGAATAGTAAGTGAGAAGTGTGCCTTCACTCTAGAACCCAAAAGCGAATTTTAAGAACAGTAATATACAAGGATATTCAAAAAGCACTATGAATTCCATTACATGTTATATTCCATAACACAGACCATAAACAAGTTTTTTTCCAGTTCGCTCTCTCCAAAAAAAAAAATTTGTTTATTGGTCTGACTAGAGAGACTAGGCTTCCTTAGGAAGGAAGAGAGATATCTTTTTTGCAAAAACTGACTTAATTTTCACCTGGGAAAGACGTGAATTTCAACAGGTGAAAAGTTACATTTTGTATGTAAAATTTTTCACCTGTTTTGCCAGTGAAATTCTCTTTGACTATGTGAAATTCACGGTGCTTTCAGTGTGAAAATCCGTTGTTTTAGCAGTGAAAAATCCGGTGTATTTCATGGCTTTAGTGTTCCACAGTGTACTAGAACTCACGGCATCATCCCACGACTAGTGGGCTTACACTTGTGATTTAGGATGATCTAGGATCTTCTAGTTGTGCACTACCCTATATACACTGCGGGCAAGTCCCACGGCCGTGGGTTCATGACGTTTGAAGGGCGTGTGACCAACACTTGCCATGGCATTTGCCACGGCGTTGCACAAACCATCATTTTCCCTTTGTTGTTATGTTACATTGTTTGGATGCCCACCGATTCCATCGCGGATCAACACAGCATTGGGGATTCATCTCGCTCGCACGGGGGTGTGAACTGGTGTGAACTCGCCGACGGTTTGAGCGGAATTCCTTCATTGAAGGCTGGATAGATTGACAGATGAAATGATAAATGTTGGTTGCGAATAGATTGATTAATGTCTGCGAATGCGAGATAAAGGCCGACGGACAATAGTGATTGATACCCAACTCCCTCTCACTATGGGCAAGAAGGTGGTATGCATCTGCCCGGAGTGCATCCAGCACCGGGTTATCATCGATGGCCAGCGAATACCGGGGCATAAAGTCACTCAGCAGCGGCGTCGGCTCCACGAAATTGCTGAAGCTGCCAGTCGTTCACCAGATTATGCCCATGGCCATAATTCCCACCCGGTCGGTGTTGAAGAACTTTTTGATGAGGAGGAGGTTGGCAAGGATAAACCAGGGAGCTCACCGGGTGCGCAGCTTTCTTGTGGATGATTGCCCGCTGAATGAGGAACACCATTGTTCATAGGCATTGTGATCGACAACACTCTCATTATCCAGCTCTGTTCTGCCTTGCTGGTCTGGCTAAATCTGAAGGCTGGTGTCAGCCGCGAAACTGCAAACACTATTCTGAAAGCTCTTCAATTGATCCTTACCACTGCTTTGGAGCTTCTACAGGAGGCCTTGGCAGCACAAGGAATCCCTGTTCAGGTTCCAAAACTTCGAATTCCCAAGGATATTCGAACCATCTACCGGAACTACACCACTGAGCCTGAGATCGTTCGAACACCCTGTTGTCCCAAGTGCTATACCCTATACCCATCACTGGCGAAAATGCCGGAGAGATGTACAGCAAAGGTTTCGAAAAATTCCCGGATCAGCTGCAAGGCTGAACTTTGGCGGACACAGCACTCTGGAAAGGAATCTAAACGAGTTCCCAAAACAACATTCAATACACAGAAATTTGAATCTTGGCTCGAATGGTTTCTCTCTCGGAAATCTACTGAGGACTATCTAGCCAAATCGTATCAGAGACCCGCTGCTGCAGATGGAGAAGAGATGAAAGATCTTCAAGACAGTCCACGGTGGAAGGAGCTAAAAAAGTTGGGAGACAAATACAACTTGGTCTTTGGGTTATACATTGATTGGTTCAACCCGCGGTCAAACAAACTAGCTGGTATGTATTGAGCAGAAAGTAATTTTTAATAGA